GGAATAATGGTACATGCTTGTAATCCCAGGGCTGGACAAGTGGAGACAGGAGGATCCCTACAGCTTTCTGGTCATTCAGCCTAGCCTATTCAACAACCCTGTGTAAAGACAAGGAGAGGGTCAGCAAGATGGCTCAGCGGTAAAAGGTGCTTGTCATGCAAGCCCAATGACCTAATTCAACCCCCAGAACCCCGTAAAGGTTGACTCCACCAAGATGTTCTCCGTCCTCCACATGCATGCATGGGACATACATCCACACATGCACACACACTCACACAAACTCAAAACAATTCAAAGAGGCAACCATAGAAAACAAGAGAAAAACAGCAAAGAACTGTGAAAAACTACTCATAGGGGGCTAGAGAAATGACTCAATGGTTAAGAGAACCAACAGTTCTTCCAGAGGACCCAGGTTCAATTCCCAGAACCCAGATGGCAGCTCACCACCGTCTGTAACTCCAGTTCCAGAGACTGACTCCCATGACAAAACACCAATGCACATAAAATAAAAATAAAAATTTAAAAACTGCTCATAGGAAGAATCCTGGATGGAAAATTAGTAACCTTCTATTAAAATAAAAGATCTCTTTCCTGTGAACTTGCCAAGCCCATAAATAAACAAGTGGTTTCCAGTCTCACCTTTTTAAATCCCTCTTGTCTAGTGTGTGGTTATTCTACCAGTCACAATTTAGGAGCCGGCCTTTTTTTTTTTTTCTTTTTAAGAACAACTGAAAACCACAGGACTACAATTCCCAGAGTACACCAAGAAATGGTGCTAGTCATGCAATTAGAATACCTTTACCTTTTAAGACAGCGCCATCTGGTGGAAGGTGAGCCTTAAAACTAAATTCAAAATAGGTAACCCATTGGGGCAGCTCTAACCAATGCTTTTCAGATTTAAAAAATTTATATATAAATGTACAAAGAAAAGTCTCCAACTAAGGTTGGGCATAGGGTTGAATGCCTTTAATCCTAGCCTCAGGAGCATTCAGGTTTGAGGCCAACCTGGTCTACATAAAGATCTAGGCCATCCAGGACAACGCAGAAAGACCATTTCAATAAATAATAGCAATAACAAATTCACACCCTTTAGGCTGACTATAATCAATAAGTCAGACAATAACAAGTTTTAGTGAGGATATAAAGAAATTTAGAAAATTCATGTACTACCAGAAATTTTAAATGATTCATCCATCTTGTTTTGTTTTGTTTTCTTTGAGACAGGGCTTCTCTGTATTCTTTTGAAGGCTATCCTGGAACCTGCTCTGTAGACCAGGCTGGCCTCGAACTCACAGAGATCCGCCTGCCTCTGTCTCCCAAGTGCTGGGATTAAAGGCGTGCACCACCAACGCCCAGCAATGATTGATCTATTTTAAAAATAAAAAAACTTACTATTCGTTAAAAAGTCAGTTTACATTTGAACCAGAAATTTTAAGCTTAGGAAATATAGCCAGGACAAAAGTAAAACCAAAGCTCAAGTAAAAACTTGTACACAAATGTCTGCATCAGCATTATTCATAATAACCAGAGTAGAAACAACTTTCATGTCCATAAATGGACAAGTAAAATGTGGTGTATTTATACAATAACATGTTACTTAGCAATAAAAGACTGGAATATGGATATATGATACAACATAGACAAACCTTAAGGACATACTACTGAAAGAGGCCAGCCCTAATCCCCACAGTCTAATTGTATGAAATATCTAAAATGGAAATCTTTAAGAAAGTAGTAGTTGTCTAGGGCTAGAGAAATGGTTAGGCAGAAAGATGGTGACTAAAGAGCACTGACTGCCTTTTTTAATGTGTTAAGGTATTTTACCTGCATGTCTGTCCAAAATATTCACGCCTGGTGCCCAAGGCCAGAAAAGGGCATTTGATCCTCTGGGACTGGAGTTACAGATGGTCGTGAGTCACCATGTAGGTGCTGGGAACTGAATATGGATCTTCTGGAAGAGCAACCAGTGCTCTTAACCACTCAGCCAGTTCTCCAGCCCCTACTGACTGCTTTTTATCATAATCACAATGTTCTAAAATTGATTGTGATGATGGACCCTCAAACTACTGAATTTACACTATCAAATGTACTATATGGTGTGTGAATTATATATTTAATTTTTTATTATATGTATTACTTTTACCTAATGTGAGAGTGTTCTGCTGCAAGTATGTATGTGTACCATGTATGTGTTTAATGCTCACAGTGGTCAGAAGAGGGCATCTGATCCCCTGGAACTGGAGTTACGAATGGTTGTGAGTCATGATGTGGGTACTGGGAACTGAACCCAGGCCCTCTGTAAGAGCAACAAGTGATCTTAGTCTCTAAGCCATCTCACTAGCCCCTAAATGAATTATATCTTTTGTTGTTGTTGTTTTTAGAGACAGGGTTTCTCTGTGTAGCCCTGGCTGTCATAGAACTCACACAGAGATCGATCCGCCTCTGTCTCCGAGTGCTGGAATTAAAAATTCTGTAGGGCCAAAGGTGCTTATTTGCAAGTCTGAGTTCAATACCCAAACCCATGTAAAGGTGGAAGGTAAGAAACAACTCTCAAAAGTTGTTCTCTGGAGCTGGAGAGATGGCTCAGTGGTTAAGAGCACTGACTGTTCTTCCAGAGGAGCCAGGTTCAATTCCCAGCAACCACATGGTGGCTCACAACCACCTTGAATGGAATCTAGTGCCCTCTGCTGGCATGCAGGCAGAAGACTGTATACACAATAAATAAATAAAATATTAAAAAAAATAAATTGTGTTCACAGATTTAAAAAAAAAGTTGTTCTCTGAACCTCCACACGTAAACAGTGGCACACATGTACCTAAACACATACATTTACAAATAAAGAAATGTAATAATAACAAGTTCTTGCAGTCAAGTATATAATATAAATGTACTATTTTCCAAATTGCTCTCCATCTGGAGTAGAGGTCAATACTCTAGGCTGTTCTGGCCATTATAATGAAAGCAGCCATAGACACTATGTATGAGTATGTGACTGTGTTCCAATAAAACTTTATTTTAAAAACAGGTGGCAGGCTGGTCCCCTCAAATGATACTCTTATGAGGATGGCAAGGCCAGTAATGCCTCTGAAGTGGCAGAGACTTGGAGGAGCTGTCTTGTACAGAAGGTAAATTGTAATGGTAGAGACAGGAATTCTAGCTTTGACTTCTTTGTATTCAGCTGCTTCTCCAAAACACCTCCCCCTCTAGGCAGCTAACAGAACAGGAGGGTCTCTGCACTACACTTCTCCTCCACCCTACCCCACCCCCAGTTAGCCCTTCAAAAGCCCCGCCTCTCCAGACAACCTTCCATGGTCAGTGTAGCAACCAGAGTGTTTACCAAGAAGGACCCAATGGGGTACGATTTACACTACTTCAAAGACACACAAAAAGCTCACAATTGGTGAGGACAAGGAGAGCAGAGCACATCCTAGGGAGGCAAGGCGTAAGAAAAGGAACATATTCAGGAGTTCACTAAACAGGCAAAGGGTTAATGTAAATGAGTGGATGCCTTACGATTTCCGTTACAGAGGCACCTGACCTGCAATCTTTTCTCTTGTACTACAGACTTACCAGTTGGCCCTTAGAATTATCTAGCACATAGCAGGTAGTCAAACATGACAGGAAATAAGAATGTATAAAGAAATGAGTGAATAAGGCATGGTGAGAGCGAGGTCTATGTAAGTCAAGCCTTGTTCTCCTCCTCTTCTCCCCCTGCACCCTGTGATGAGGTCTTGTTATTATAGCCCAGCCTAACCTCAAACTCTTGGACTCAGCAGTCCTGTCTCCGGTCTCCCTAGCAGTGCGCTCTCAGATCCTTGTACTTCTCCTATCACGGCATGTCAAAACTATTGCTTAGCAAGCGTGGCATATCCTGCATTTGCCCGTGAGTATCATTCAGGTGAGACCACATGCCCTCAACAGAAAACAACTCAGTGGATGAAAGGAGGCCGTCTCTACTTTCCATTCACTGAAGTGAGCCTCACTCACGAACTCTCTCTAGCAACGATGACATAACCTTCTCTCAGGGTTATTACATCCTCACTAGGAGAAAGCAGCATGGCCAGAACTCACACTTGGAGAAGGCTTCAGAGAATGCAGGGGTTGCAGCTCTGCACTAGGACAGAGGGCCTGCAAACCCGCAAGAAAAGTGTGGGGGTGGGAGACAGGCCTGCTTGTTCTGTGCCAAGTCCTATGGTGGGTGACGGAGGCACAAGGCGGCCAGGCCACCCTTTGCCTTCCACAAACCTCAACCAGTCTGCTCTGTGACCTTCGAAGTCCTGAAATCAAAGAAGACACCTGCACAGAGAGGCAGAGGCAGGAGGATCTCTGAGTTCGAGGCCAGTCTGGTCTACAGAGCGAGTTCCAAGACCTGGACTACACAGAGAAACCCTGTCTCGAAAAACAAACATAGAAAAAGAAAATTTAGAAAAGCCACAAGAGTCAAATATCTCCCTGTGCCCTCTAAGGTCATCCCGATACTGGTTTGGATATCATTTTCCAACATGAAACAATTCCATTGCTCTAAATATCATGGGCCTGAACCCTGCCTCACTCACTCCCCATTGCGCGACAGAAATCCTCCACCAGGTGAGCCAGACTTGGCTCCTGACCAAAAGGTAACAAATGTACGGGCCTCACCTGTTGGTGGTACATAGGCCCTGGACGGAGGCCGCGGGGTTGGCCTTGGCCACATTGAGCCGGTGGGGTCACAGGAAGGTCGGTTCAAGAGGCTGCGCCCCCGGTCCCTCAGCCTGGGGCAGATCCGCCACATCACGCCCAAGGGCCTGGGTGGACACATAAGTCAAAACAGAGAATAGACTGTACGGAAACTCTCCCCACAGGCTCGAAGCCCTCAGCCTCCTCTGCACGCCGCCATCTTCCTCATGACACCTACGGCGCGCCGTCGCCACTGCGCGCCCCTCCCGCCCCCGGTCAATCAGCATCACAAGCGTGCTCGCCCCGCCCCCTCCATGCCGCGTTATTGAAAAACTACAAGTCCCAGAGGGCCGTTCGCGCACCACGCCACGTGCTCTCTCTGCCAGCCAATAGGCGGAAGCGCCGCTCGCGCTTGCTCCCGCCTCTCCGGCGCTCCCGCGCCAATCGGAAGCCGCAGTGTGTATGTGTGAGTGTTTGTGTGTATGTGTGTGAATGTGTGTGTGAATGTGTGCGTGTGAGTGTGTGAATGTGTGCGTGTGTGCGCGCGAGAGAGCAAGTGGGAACGAGGAAGCAGCTGAGGACAACCCTGCTAGCAGGTCCCGGGTCCAGGTGCCGACACGAGCCCTCAGTCGGCCGGCAGCGGGCGGGGTGATTCCCCGAGCCCCTCCCCCGCGCGTGCGCGCCCGGGTCCGCCCTCCCCGCAGCCTCTACTCCCGCGCGGCGGCGGCGGTTCCTTCCCCCTTCCCCCAGCCCTGGCTCCGGGGGACCCCGCGATGCCGGTCCGCACCGAGTGTCCCCCGCCGGCGGGTGCCTCAGCTACATCCGCGGCCTCACTCATCCCGCCACCGCCCATCAACACCCAGCAGCCCGGCGTGGCCACCAGCCTGCTCTACAGCGGCTCCAAGTTCCGCGGCCACCAGAAGAGCAAGGGGAACTCGTACGACGTAGAGGTGGTGCTGCAGGTGAGCGCCGGGCGGCCAGGCCGGGCCCGAGGGCCTCCTCGCGGCGCTCACGGGCCAGGCCTGCCCTGGGCTCCGCGAGCCCTAAGCCGCGGACCAGGCCCTCGATACCGGGGCCTCCTGCACCCGGCGCCTCCCACCGGGACCTACCCAGCTGATGTCACACTCTCGAACCCTAGCCCTAACCCACCCCTAGACCCAGAGCCTGTAGCGGCCAGCCTCAGACAGACCCCAAAGACTGTCCCACACTTGGAGCCTTTGACCCGCCCTCTTGGGATCCGGAAGCACCCCTATGACTATCTGCCCTTTAACCTGGGTCGGTTCTTCCCAAGTCTTGTCTTTCTACACCAGCCTCCCCTCCCATCGGTCCCTGTCCGACCCTGAAGAACTCCCCATTGGCTCCCCCAGACTCAGTACCTCCCGGTGGCGACCAGTGTCAGATTCTCCCAGAATGAAGCTTTTCCCCCTTGTTCCTTTGGAAAACTCAACCAGCCCACCATCCTCGGGGCGGCGGGGCCGGGTGGACAACCTCCCTCTATTAGCTGACACAACCCAAGGCATTCCCAGCCCTTGGCTCCCCTAAAGAGCAGGTATTCACACCCAGGTGTCTCCAATTGCACCACTTACTGTTTAGGACCTTGCCTCCTGAGGCCTTCCAGTACCAAAACCCTGCCTCAGTCAGTTCATAGCCAGCCCAGTCATCTGCCCCACTCTAGGCTTCCTGCCCCAGGCTTCTTACTCTCCCCTGCTCCGCGGTCACTTCCCATCCCGGGCAGTCCCCCTGGCCTCTCCCCAGACCTCGCACCTTGGTCCTAGCTGCTTGCTATTGCTGGCTTCAGTGTTGCTGATTTTTATCTACACAGCTCCAGAGTTTCCTCTCAGCCTCAGATGCCCAAGTACTGGGAAATCTAACCTAGTTTTGTCTTGTGTCCACGCACCTCCCCCTAATTGACCTGGATATCTGAGTACAGGCTGCTGGCTGCCAGTCCCTGAACAACTTTGAAACTTCAACTTCATCTGCTCTGGGCCTTTCCTTTCCAGCGCTTCCTTCTCTCTCCCTTAAAGCTTTTCCCAGCCAAAGAAGATTGGTGGAGGTCTTTCCTCTGTCCTCCGTAGTGTTCTTTCTGGGTATTAAACTGCCTGCCTGAAGATCTAGTCCCCTTTCCATCTTGTGTGCATCCTCCTAATGCCCCCACCTAGGCTGTTCCCCAAATCTTGTTCAGAGGTGCGCGCTGCCCCAAGGCCCCAGTGAGATGTACAGTGTACTCTGCACTCTAAACCACCCTTTACTCTTTCCAATTTCCGATGTTGGTTTCTTTTGAGCAGTTAGACGGCACTCCAAAGGCATGAGAGTGTCTCCTCTCTAACTGTAGCACACACTTATAAGCCTTTTTTGTTCCTACCATTTGTGGGAATAGTTTTCTCAGGTTTTTGATTGGGAAACCGTGCTCTTATTAAATGCAGTTTGTTCCATAGAGTTCTATAAGGAACTATGATATTTATTGTAATTGGAAAACTGGCTGAGCTATTTCAATTCTCATTACCTACTGTGATAGTAATTTTTTTCCTCCCTAAAATGTGATACTATTGTATGAAAAAGTCAGGCTTTTTTTAATTCACTCAACTAATCATGAAATTGTGTATCCATTTGCTGGTTTCTGATATAATAGGTAACCACTGGGGCTGTCAAATGGGCCTATCATTTGTTGTTTCCTACTTTGTAGTTGCCAGTGCCCGTGTGAACCAGTGAAAATAGTGATTGAGTTTGGGGCATGGTTGATAGGTGGCAGGTAGCCCAAATCCTTATATGGAATGGCTAGTGTGGAGTCAGTTGGTGGTCATGCCAGGGAATGCTCCCCCACATCTAGTCAATGAACTTGTTTGTCATTATGATCAAGTGGAGGCATGGGAATTGTTGCCTGATCTTCCTGCTACGGCCAGTTTTTTAGACTCGGCCTTCTGAGAATAGTTATTTTTCATAATCCAACTTTTTTCCTGCTTTTCTTGTTCGTTTAGTTTAGCTTAAAATATTTTTGGGAAGCAGAATAATGTGATAGTTAAAGGCATAGACTCTGAAGTCAGATCAATGAAAAGTATACCTGCTTGCTCTTTTTCAATTTTGTTGAGATATAATCCACATGCCATACTGTTTATATATTCAAGGTGTACACTTAATGGCTTTTAGGATAGTCATAAAGTTGTTCAGCTGTCACCTGATTTAGAACATTTTATTGTCCCCAAAAGAAATTCCATACTCCTTAACTATCATACATCGCATACACACACACACATACACACACACACCCTACAAACATACCAATCCTAGGCTAATCTTTTTCTTTTTTTCTTCCGATTTACCTGTTCTAAGATCAGGTTTGGTAGTATTCACCTCTAATTCCTAAACTCAGACTCTGAGGCCACAGGATGCTATCCTGACCTACAGAATGAAACCTTTCTCAAAAGCAAACAAAACCCTAGACTCAACTTTAACTATTATGGACATGTATAAATAGAGCCATACAGTTATTTTTCCTTTTGTGACTGGCGTCTTTAACATTGCATATTTTCAGGGCTCATCTGTATCTCAGCTCATGTCACTACTTCATTACTTTCTGTCGTTGCCCATTGTAAAGCATTGCCTACATTTTGTTTAGCCATTGATCAGTTGATGGGCTTAGGTTATTTCTACTTTGGGTCTATTATCACTAATGCTGTTGTGAACATCCATATACAGGTTTATTATTATTATTATTGAGGTGTGGGTCTCTGTTGCTTAGGTTAGCTTTCAACCCCTAACTTTAAGTGACCTTCCCACTTTAGCCATCCCAAGTACTGAGACCATAGGTATTTACCACCAACCCAGCTGTGTACAGGTTTTTATGTGCACATATGTTTTCATTTTTCTTGAGTAGATATAGAGATACCTAGAGGTAGAACTACTGGGTATATAGTAGCTCTAGGTTTAATATTTTAGCAAACTACCAGTGGTTTTTAAAGTGGTTACACTGTTTTACATTTCCACTAACAGCATATGAGGGTTTCAACTTCTTCACGTCTTTGATTACAGTTGTTCCAGTGGGAATGGAATGGTATCTCATGGTCTTACTGTAAATGTTCCAAAAGATGTTGTGTATCTTTCCTGTGCATTCAGAGCAATGGGGTGTGTACACATGTACCTGTGAGTGCATGTATGCATGTGTGCTTGTACACCTGGAGATCAGAGGGTCAACATCAGGTGTCTTCCTCTATTGCCTTTCACCTTATTTTTTGAGACAGGGACTCTCACTGAAACTGAACTCACTGATTGGCTAGACTAACTGCCAGGGAATGGGGGATTAGCCTGTTTCAGCCTCCCCAGCACTGGGATTCCAGGTACACCACACCTCACCTGACTCTTATGTTTACGAGGAATCCAAATTCAGATTCTCATATTTGCATAACAAGTACTTTACCAAGTTCATCTTGACAACCCCTAGAGCAGTGGTTCTCAGCCCTTCTAATGCTGTGACCCTTTACTACAGTTCCTCATGTTGTAGTGACTCCCAACCATAAAATTATTTTCGTTTACTTTATAACTGTAATTTTGCTATTATTATGAATTGCAAGTAACTGATATGCAACCCCTGTGGGGTTACCACCCACAGAGTGAGAACTGCTGCCCTAAAACATCTTTTATTTTGAAACTCTAGTATAACAGAGTTCCTGAAAATATATGCAGGGTTCTAACAAGATCTTTTCCCCAGATCTTACTCTGATTATTTCCCTCTATGCCATCCCCTAAGTCACCAGTAGTGGGAAGTCCAGGTCTCTGTGAAGAGTATTTAAAAAGAGCAGCTGTTGGGCATAGTTGTACTGAAAGGCCTCTTTGCTAAACATTTGCCTTGTTATCTTTCACATTGAAGTGCTGGCCCGTTGGTCGGTGAGAATGTGTGCAAGTGGGATAATTTGAGTTCACCTATCATCATTATCAGTTTGGGCAAAATGGGAAAGATATGGTTGAATAGAGACCAAATAGAAATTCTGATTGTTGAGCATGCTAATATGAAGCAATTTACACTTCAAGTTTTAATCTTACTAACAAGTATTTCTTCCGTCTGATAGCCTTTAACTCTGAAAACCACAAGTTGTATTGAGTTCTGTAAGAATCACAAAAGTGAGATTTAAGGCCTCAGACTCAGAATGTCCTTTAATAAAATCTTTTTTTTTCCTTTTTGCTGAACCATGTGAGTATGAACCAGCTGTGTTACCTAATCCCAGTGCTAAGAGACCAGCAGGTGAAGATGCTGAAATACTTCAGCAGTTTTTGCTTGAATTACTTTTGCAGCAGTTTTTGCTTGAATTACTTTTGATTCCAGCACCAAGATATGACAGCCCTTTGGGCTTCATTGGAACTCATTGCTTTGGTGCTGACATCATCTGGCTAACTAGGTTCATTACAGTTTTTTTTGTTGTTGTTGTTTTTTGGTTTTTGGTTTTTCGAGACAGGGTTTCTCTGTGGCTTTGGAGGCTGTCCTGGAATTCGCTTGGTAGTCCAGGCTGGTCTCGAACTCACAGAGATCCACCTGCCTCTACCTCCCGAGTGCTGGGATTAAAGGCGTGAGCCACCAACGCCCGGCTCATTACAGTTCTTAAGGACTTCCTTAATATTTGATTTGTGTTAGAGATAAAAGTAAATCCCCAAACCTGATAAGTGGGGCTGGAGAGATGGCTCAGCAATTAAGGGTACATACTGCTCTTGTTGAGGCCTCAAGTTCAATTCCTACCACCCATTCATGCAGCTCACAGCTTCTTGTAACTACAGCTCCAGTAGTTACCTCTGGCCTCTCTCATGTACACATACTCACATTAGATACATAGATATAATTAAAAATAATAAAATAAATATTTTCTTAAAATATGATAAGGGCCACAAAACTTTTCTAATTTTTTGAAGTGAGACCTCACTTAACATAAAAATTTCCATGTACCTCTGTACTTTGTTTTGCTTTAATTCAGAAGCTAATAGGCAACTACAGAGTTTATCACAATTACAGTCATTTTAAGTCATGAACTCTTGAGTCTCTGCCTGTTGGGACAGTGTGTGTGTGTGGATTGAGGTGAGATTTACAAGTTGGTGTACTTCCTTGTTTTTGTTTGTTTGTTTTTGTTTTTCTTTCACGAGACAGGGTTTCTCTGTATTGTTTTGGAGGCTGTCGGTCTAGCCCGGCCTCGAACTCACAGAGATCCGCCTGCCTCTGCCTCCCGAGTGCTGGGACTAAAGGCGTGCGCCACCACCGCCCGGCTGCATCTACCTTGTTTATAGGACCTGGCCATTATTAGTGAATCTAAAGCATGTATGGACCCCTATCATCTGTGAGGTATGTGAGCATGTATGGATCTCCATCTGTGAGACACTGGTGGAGAGATGTGTGACTTAATTCTGGCCAATAAGAAGTCTTCCAAGTATCTAGATTGCGTTTCAAAATAGTGTGCACAGGACTGAGGATATAGCCCAGCTAATAAAATTCACAGAGTCCTATGTTTGACCACATAAACCAAGCATGATAGTCCACACATATAATCCCAGCACTCAGGAGGATCAGAAGTTCATGTCTTCCTCTACTGCATAGTGAGTTTGAGATCAGCCTGAGCTACCTTAGACCCTGTCTCACCCACTGTCTGACATGACTGTTTGACTCCAGATCCTATGATGGATTGGTTCCATCTATCTTTCTGGGCTGCATCCTCAGCATTTCCTGGTCCATTTCTCTTTCTGGTCTCTTGGTAGCTGCCCTGAGCCTGAATACTATTTGTGAGGAAAAGGAAGAGACACTTGTTCCTCATATGCCCATTCAAATGTTATGCTCCGTCCTAAGCACTCAGAAGACTTCTTGTTGGCCAGAATCAAGTCACACATCTCTCCACCAGTGTCTCACAGATGATAGGGGTCCATACATGCTTTAGATTCACTAATAATGGCCAGGACCTATAAACAAGGTAGGTGCAGAACAAAATCCAGGCCCTGCTTGCATGGAAAAAAAAAAAAGTTGGTTGTTGAGTAGACATTTGGCAGTGTCTAAGCAACCAATGACCTGTGGTCACCAAGCCTTAAAATCTACTGTGATCCTCCTTCCTCCTGTCTTGGGCTCCTGAATATTAAGAAACACAAGACCGATAGCCTCCAAAACAATACAGAGAAACCCTGTCTTGTAAAAACCAAAAAAAAAGAAACACAAGTCCAGGGACTACAGAGACAGCTCAGCAGTTAAAAGTATTATGTGTAACTCCAGTTTCAGGAAGCCAATGTCCTCTTCTGGCCTCCACAGGCATCAGGCTTGCATATGGTATAGAGACATACATGTGGGGAAAAAAATACACATAAAAAGAAATACAAATCAAGTACAAATATTTCAAGAGTGATGTGCTTTTGGGAACAGCCAGCCCACTCATTCACTTCCTGTACATTATCTCACTCATATGCAGTCTCGGTGCATTGGTAGACACAAGGGCCCACTCTACCTGTATACCCAGAGCCATCTCTAACTCTAAATTTTCCATTTCTCTGCTATTCAACCACTACTATTCAGCTTGGGAGAACTATTCCTGCTGTTATTGACCCTAAGCATAGTCTTGAATTATTTTCTTACGAAATGAGAACATTTGCGGATAGCATTATATAGTTGGAAGGAATAAATTTTAATTATGAACCAAAATGCCACCCAACCTATTGTGAATCTCAGCTTGGCCTACTTCATAAACAGCCTTTTTTTTTTGTTTTTCACGAGACATGGCTGTCCTGGAACTCACCCTGTAGGCTGGTGTCAAACTCACAGAGATCCTCCTGCCTCTGCCTGCCAAGTGCAAGGATTAAAGGCGTGTGCCACCACCACCCAGCTAAGATTTATTTTTAATTACGCATTGTATACCTGTATATGGATATGTGCACATGAATGTAGGTGCCAATAGAGGCTAAAAGGTGATGGATCCCCTAGAACTGGAGGTACAGGTGGTCATGAGCCACCTGATGTGGGTGCTGACAACCAAACTTGGATCCTTTGGAAGAGCAGCAAATGTTCTTAACAGCTGAGCCATTTCTCTAGCCCCTGAGATAATTTTCATTATCAGTCAGATCTGAAGGTACCAAAGGCAGCTGAGGCTTGTATTGTGCCAGGCACATGCAGACCTCTAGACCTCCCTGACCTGGCCTTGCAGGATTTCTGAAGCACCCCCAAGGGCTCATTTATAACACGCTATTCTTTCTTTGCAGCACGTTGACACAGGTAACTCTTACCTTTGTGGGTACCTGAAGATTAAAGGCCTTACAGAGGTAAGTGCTTATTGCCAGATGTGGGATTGTAATGCAGTGGCTTGCTCAGCAGCTTAGAAAGTCCAGAACAGCAGTTCCATGTTGAATCTCCTTGACTGTACTGCAGTTTGGACTGTCCATTTGCAAATATACACATTCACAGTTTTTCCCCTTTTGTCCTAGGTATGGAACTTGGATGAAATGAAGGTTTAGTGTGCATTCAACCACTGAGCTACACCAGTAGCTCTCACAGATCACAGCATGATTGATTAGTCATTTTTTATGATTTTTTTTTTGAGTCAGAATTGCCCAGGTTAGCCTCAGAAGACTTAAATTACCTTGTCTCAGCCTCTGAAATTCTAAGAGCCAGAGAGATAATTAAATTTGAGATTATTTGCCACATATTTGCTAATAAAGGCACAGCTTTGCTCTTTGGGTGCCATCTTTTTGGGTTTTGGGGGGTTTTTGTTTTTCTAGACAGGGTTTCTCTGTGTAGCTTTGGAACCTGTCCTGGAACTAGTTCTTGTAGACTAGGCTGGTCTGGAACTCAGAGATCCACCTGCCTCTGCCTCCTGAGTGTTGGGATTAAAGGTGTGCGCTGCCACCACCCAACTATTTGGGTGCTATTTTAAACTGAAGCATCAGACTTGTAAAGCACAGGTATAATATTACTGTCTTTGCATTTCTGAGCTAGCCACCAACAGGCAGAGGGATGTTTCCCAAAGATCCCAACAGCATGGTGGGTGACTGGGAACCCAGCTTATAAGGGGAGATAGTGGTAAGGCTTTGTCTTATCCTTAGTTGGATTTAGGAGGCCAGGCTGTGGTTGGAGGCAGGGATACAGACCACACTAGCCAAATCCTAAGACTGGACAAAAGTGTCTTTCCAGTGTTCTATCTACATGCATGTTGCAGGCCAGAAGAGGGCATCAAACCCCATTATAGATGGTTGTGAGTTGCCACATGTTTGCTGGTAATTGAAAGAGCAGCCAGTGCTCCTTAACCACTGAGCAATCTCTAGCCCATCTGTTCGCTCTTAACTAAAGTACTTGTTGACCTATTGGTGGCTACACCTTGCACCTATCTGGTCTTCCTCCCTGACTCCTCTTTCAAATAACCTTCCTTCTGATGGTATGTTTCTGGTTTGTGAGTGTGTGTGCGTTTTGTGTCTCTAAATTATCCTGAATTTCACCATATAGTCAAGTGCCCAGGGTTCCTGTGCCTTCCTCAATAAATAATGAATCTTTTTGGTAACTTCTGACCATGATGGACCCAGTTCATTATCATTTATTGTATTTGGGGGAGTGCATTATAGTTACCTTCACATGCTGCCTAAAGGTTTAAGAAGTCAACACAGAACCACTCCCTAGTAAACTAGTCATTTAAACCACAACTATTTTTATGGTATTAGGAACGTTTTGCCATTTTGTTCTTCTGTCCTTTAGATGGTGTGATGGTTTGAATGAGAATGGCCCCCATAAGCTCATATGTTTGTGATGCGTGGTTCCCAGTTAGTGGAACTGTTTGAGAATTGGGAAGTGTGATCTTGGAGGAAGAGAGTCACTGGGAGTAGACCTTGAGATTTCAAAAATACATTCCAGGCCTAGTCAGTCAGTCAGTCAGTCTCTCTCTCTCTCTCTCTCTCTCTCTCTCTCTCTCTCTCTCTCTCTCTCTCTCTCTCTCTCTCCATCCATCTCTATCTTATCTCTCTATCTCTGCCTGCTGCCTCCAGATCAGCATGTAAAGCTCTCAGCTACTTCACCACCACCATTCCTGTCTGCTTCCCCCATGATGATCATAGACCAACCCTCTAAAACTGTAAGCAAACCACCAGTTAGATGCATTCTTTTATAAGAGTTGTCTTGGTCATGGTGTCTCTTCCCTGCAATAGACTAAGACAAGTGGGAATTCTGAAAAGATATTAAAGCTCAGAAACAACCTAAGCATAATTTCCTGTTTAAAATATATGGAGGCTATTTGTGGTGTCACACACCTTTAATCAACCCTCAAGAGGCAGAGACAGGCAGATCTCTGAGTTCAATGCCAGTCTAGTGTACATAGTGAGTTCCAGGCCACCTAGGGCTACCCAGTAAGACTCTGTCTCCAAAAACAAAAACAAAACAACAAAATTGTAGGAAGATTCTAGAGATTGTTCAGCAGTTAAGAGCACTGGCTGCTCTTCCAGAGAACTGGGGTTTGGTTTCCTAGCACCCACATGGCAGGTGCTATCTGTTGCTCCACTTCCAGAGGATCCAGCACCCTATTCTGGCCTCCACAGGCACCAGGCACACACGTAGTGCACAGACATATGCAGGCAAAATACCCATACATAAAACAAACATAAGTAAGTCTTAAGAATTATATAACCTTTAAAATAAAATATCCTACTGACTTCCTGGCTTATATAGTCCTTCCAAAGATGGATTAATGTAGTTTTTTTTTAATGTAACGAGATTTCCATTTAAGAAAATCTTCCATCCCATCTTATTTCTTCATTGTGTATATACACATGTCTGTATGAGAAACCCAGCCCAGCGCTGTTAGTGTAGGCGTTTGTAAGGAGGATATTAGATTTGTGTATTTTAAAGTTCACTGTTAAGAAATGGAATGAGAGCCAGGTGGTGTTGGCTATTCACAGCACTCGGGAAGCAGAGGCAGGTGAATCTCTGAGTTTGAGACCAGCTTGATCTACAGAGCGAGTTCCAGAACAGCCAGAAATAACATACACAGAGAAACCCTGTCTTGAAAAACCAAAAAGAAGAGGAAGAAACAGAACAGGGTGAAGGTGGAACTGGGGAGATGGTTCTGTTCTCACACTTACTAAGGACCTGAGTTCAGATCCCCAGCACCCATGTCTAAAAAACAAACAACAATCTTGGCCATGCATGTCTGTAACTCTAGTGTAGCTGGGATGGAAATTAACAGATCCTGGTACTTGCTGGCCAGTCATTCTAGCCAGTGGTGAGCACCAGATTCAGTGAACCATGTTTTAAAAGGTAAAACCAGTAAAGGAAGACACCTGATGTCAATCTCCAGCCTCCATACCCATGCACACACAAAAAGAAAAGAAAAACAGAATGTAGCTCAGTGGTAGAACACTTGTCTCTTGTGCATAAGGCCCTTGTCCACTCAGGACTGCAAGTTAATAATAAAAACACACGTGGGCAGTGGTTTCACAGTAGGACTTCTTCGTGACCTTGAGTTTGGTGAACCAGAGCTACATAGTGAGACACTGCCTCAAAAAAAATCACAAAAAAAAAAAACAGGTATAAACGAGGAACAAGGGAACTTGAGGGTACATGAAGAGGTGGCCCGGGGTCAAAGGAGGCTCAGCTCTGGAGTCTTTTGTGGTGGTGCACCCTAGAATACAGCATGATAAGCTATGCTCTGCTTTGACTGTAGAGTATTCAGAGTTTACTTGTGGTGGACAACATCCAAATTCTTTTTTAAGAGGCCAAAACATAGCAGATGAGACCAAAGTTGAGTTCTTTGCTCTGACAAAGTCTCCAAAGTCCCAGAGTCCTTTCTCTGTCTGGACAACTGAATTCAGGTTTATTTCTTTTTTTTTTTTTTTTTTTTTTTTTTTGGTTTTTCGAGACAGGGTTTCTCTGTATTGTTTTGGAGGCTATCGGTCCAGCCCAGCCTCGAACTCACAGAGATCCGCCTGCCTCTGCCTCCCGAGTGCTGGGATTAAAGGCGTGCGGCTGGCATTCAGGTTTATTTCTATAGCCTGTTGGCAGATCACTGGATCTAACAGTGGTTTGGTTTGTTAGCAATGAAGTTCATCTTGTGAAAGTATTAGAAAGAAGTTATCTCCAAAGCCATAGAGAAACCTTGTCTTGAAAAACAAACAAACAAAAACAAATAGCAGTTATAGGCAGACAGTGGTGGTGGTGCACGCCTTTAATCCCAGCACTCCAGAGGCAGAGGCAGAGGCAGGCGGATCTCTGTGAGTTCCAGGCCAACCCAATTGGTCTACAGAGTGAGTTCCAGGAAAGCCAGGGATACACAGAGAAACCCTGACTTGAAAAAGAAAAGAAAAAAAGTTATAGCAAGATTGGTTATCTCTGAACAGTGAAATAGGCAGGAGGCAAGTAAACACATCTTGGGTAGCCTGAGGTCCTACATCCCATCAACAGGACCAAGGTAAAGTGCTCATTCAGTATCTGAGTGTGTGGTGCCCAGGGTTTAGACCCCTGAATACTGCAAACAAAAACAACTAGAAATTCACATTGAATATTTGCTTTTGCTGTAGGAATATCCAACCCTTACAACCTTCTTTGAAGGAGAAATAATAAGCAAAAAACACCCTTTCTTAACTCGCAAGTGGGACGCAGATGAAGACGTCGATCGGAAACACTGGGTGAGTAAGGCTGTGCTCTGCCCTGGGCAACTGAAGACATCTGGAAAATGGCAGGCCTAGACCTGAGACCCTGTTTCCCAGCAGAAGTTAATCAGAACCGAGTCCTACGTAAACTGCAGTTTCCAGGTCTGCCAACCCTTCTCATAAATACTAGGTGATGAGAACAGTCCTTCAGTCCCATGCACAGCTGTGTGGCTGTTAGAACCTGGGCAATGTCCCCGTTCTGCCATCTTTTCTCTACTGTTCCTTTCTAGTCATGTCTGTATGGTGAAGCCCCATGAGGCAGGTAGCAGTTGCCTCTTGTGTTCCGGACAGCCTTTAGTGAGGATGTTTTTCATGAAGCCCAGCAAGGGCAGGATGCATTGCTTGTTTCTGTTCATCCTAATAGACTTAACCTACATACCAGCCAGGCACACTTGAGAAAGTCAGATTCCCTGTCCTTAGCAGTCATGTGTGCAATGCCCTTATTCCCCAGTGGTGAGCATGTCAGAAGAACTTAGAGTTACTGCCCTGGGGTCTTTTCCCATTTGGGTCTTTACCTGTCTTATATCTTCAAAAATCTGTTTTTTGTCCTATCACGCCAGCCTTTGTTGTCAACTATTGTAGAGAGGGATGTTGTTTGTTTTGAGATAGGATCTTCTGTAACCCAGACTGGCTTGAAAGTCTCAGCAATCTTCTTGCTCAGTCTCCCAAGTGCTGCAATAACTGGTGCTCAGCTGGTTTTTGTTTTTTGAGATAAGGTCTTGCTTGTTGTATTTATCTTGAGTTTTCAGTGTGGAATAAACTGCCTGTGCTACCACTTTCCTGTTGTGTAGTCCAGAATCAGACATGCTGTTGTACCCTCAGATTTACCTGTTAGCAACACTATAGCTATAGCTGTGGTCAGGATTCCATATGCTTCACGTGTTCATGACATTTATATTATAATGCTTTGAGTCCTGTGCATATTAAACTTTCACTGTTGGCCTTTTATTTCAGATATTTTCTTATAAAGTATATGCTTATTTGAAAATATTTGAAAAAACAAACTAGAAAGGAAAAATCTTTAATAACAATGTTTAGCACTAAGATACTAACTTTGTCTTGACCCTCTTTTGGATTCTTTTGTATCCATGAGTTTGAACTTGGTGTATTCAACTGACTATAGATTGAAAATCTTTGGGGTCAGTAACTCATTGATTCTCTGGTGCAATACAAAGAAATGTCAGTAAAAAATATTCTGTCTCAGACTTGAGGGGATGGCTCAGCAGTTAAGGGCACTTATGCTCTTCCAAAGGATTCAACATCTGTTCCCAGAACCATGTGACAGCTTACAACTATCTATAACTCCAGTTCCAGGGCCTATGACACCCTCTTCTGACCTCCTTGGCACACACATTCATGCAGGTAAAACACCCACACACATAAAATAAAAATAAAACTTAAAAAAAAATATCGTCAGGCATGGTGACATATGCCTTTAATCTCAAGACTCTGGAGGCAGAACAATGTGAGTTTGAGGCTAGCCCGGTCTACGTAGTGAGTTCTAAGACCATACAAGACTGTACTGTAAAACCCTTTAAAAAAGAAAACAAAGCCAGATGGCGGTGGCACACGCCTTTAATCCCAGCACTTGGGAGGCAGAGGCAGGTGGATCTCAGTGAGTTAAGGTCAGCCTGGTCTACATAGCAAGTTCCAGGACAGCTAGGGCTACACAAAGAAGCCCTGTCTTGAAAAATAAAAAACAAAACAGAAAGCAACCATTTGTGTTTACCCATCATACACAAGCTTTTTATTTTCACTTTTCTCCTGCACAGTACAGTACAGCTGTCTACAAGCATCCACATGGTATTCAGTTTCCTAGAGACAATTGAAAGTATATAGAAGGATAATGTATACAGGTCACATACAGATCAGGGCATATTATCTGAGGGACTGACTGTCTGGGGATTTGAGTGTCTGTACAGGATCCTAGAGTCCTTCTTCTGCAGGTACCAAGAAATAACTACATATGTATATATTACCTCTTTGGACAGGCACTCACTCTTTAAATTTGTGTCTACAAAGGCCTTATACTTGAAATACTCTTGTCTCAGCCTCCCAAGTGTTGCAGTTATATATGTCTACTATGACACCTAGCTCTGACATGACATGCTGTTAGAAAGTGGCTCAATTGACTCTTTGTTTTTTTGTTTTTAAGATTTGTTACTTTATGTATATAGGTGGTTTGCCTGCATGCATGTGTGTGTACTGGGAACCAGCAACAAGTGCCCTTAACCACTGAGCAAACTCTCCAGTCCTGTTCTTTGTTTTTCAGTTTTCGTGTCTGTACACATTTAAAAAACAAGAGAGATCTGCCTGCTTCCTGAGTTTTGGGATTAATGGTGTGAGCCACCATGCTCAGTGATACTCTTTGATGAAATCTCACTAATCCATCTTACTTTATGTGTTCTGATAATAGGGTGTTCTCGAACTGTGCCCACCCCTACCTTTGACCTTTTCTTCTGGCTGTGTTCACTGGACACACAGTCGAGTAGTGCTTTGTCCACTTAGTTATCCTTTCCAGATGCCATGAGCTCAGGTACCCACCTTTGCTCCTGTGGATAGATCACCGAGACTCTTTTGTTTTTTAGGGCAAGTTTCTGGCTTTTTATCAGTATGCAAAATCATTTAATTCAGATGACTTTGATTATGAAGAACTGAAAAATGGGGATTATGTCTTCATGAGGTGGAAGGTAAGGTTCTGCCCAGGCCATCTCCCTAAACTCCCACGTGCCAGGTCCTAGAGCACCCAAACATACTTACTCTTGCTGATTATGCCTTCCCATAGGGGCCCTTCGTGCCATTAGCTTATCACTGTGTGTCTTCATGGTTGGGTCCCTACACACTTGTAAACAGCAGTTGTGTGGTGGCTCCAGAGTCCACATGGGTGAGCTGGCTATCCTGTTAAGTGGGCATATTCATGCCAGAAGGCACCTCTGGCCTCTTCCTTTCATTCTCCTACCCAACAATCCTGTGAACCTCCACGATTAGTCATCCAGTTTCTGGGGATTCAGGGCTACTTTCCTTGAACTTAGTCATCACTGTGCTATTCCTAACACAAACTTAAATGCCATCAGAATGACTTGCTCTCCAGCTATATCCTCTACCCAGTGCTCAGGAAATGAGGGGCCAGGAATGGAGCAGAAGTTCTCCCCTCGCTGGCCCTTGGCTCCCTCTAGTCCTTCAGTGGATTGGCCTTTGCCTGAGAGTAGTCCTATGCTTCTCTACTATAGTAGTATGCTATCTACAACCACATGAATGCAAAGCCATGAAACAAATTTGTGAAAGAAATTTGGGAACACCTGTCCACCTCAAATTCCCATGCCTGCTCTGTGAGGATAAAGAAAGCTACTTGAAGGGGCTAGAGAGTTGGCCCAGTGGTTAAGAGCACTGGCTGCTCTTACAGAGGACCCTTGTTCAAGTCTCAGCACCCATATAACAGCTCACAACTGTCTGTAACTCCAGTTCTGACACCCTCACTCAGACATACATGCAGGCAGAATACCTAAAATAAATAAGTCATTAAAAAAAAGAAAGCTACTTGAATATGATATAGTTTTATAAAGACTAGACATGTAAAGTGGTCGCTTTCCATCTGTGCTTTGTATGACTGATCATTTGGGAAGTAGGATAGCATTTCTTCACTTGGCAGTTGCAGAATAGCACACAGTGAGCTTCGCTCTCTAGCCCCATCTGCCATCCAGTGTATATTGAGCCTCCATCTCCAGCCCACTCTGCTATCCAGCACATACTGAGCTTCCCTCTCTAGCCCACACTAGCACATACTGAGCCTCCCTCCCCAGCCTGCTGTACAGTGGGAAATATGCCAACTAATCCTTTAAAGAACTTGTACTGATGTTTAGATTAACTTTATTCCAGTGCTGAGAATGTAACTCTGACTTAGCACATACTAGGCAAGTGTTCTACCACTGAGCTAGACCTTACGCCTACATTAAACTTTAAAATAGTATTTTGAAGTTTGAATAATGCAGAAAAGAGAATCCATTTTTTAAAAAAGCTGGAGAAGGCTTGGGAGTATAGTTTATGATAGAGCATTTGTCTAGTGAACAGAGTCCCGGGTTTCATCCCAGCATTGGAAAGTAAATGAAAACAGTTTGTTAAAGCAGTGGAATTCTCTCCAAACAATTTCTCTTAGAGTAACTCACATGGTATTTTGGTTTCCCTGAAGCCCTAGGGCTTCTGACCCCACCTTGTAGGAAGCAGGAGCCTTTCACAGATGGCAGGTCACCTGTCTCTGTAGTGTGTTCTTGTGACTTTAACCAGGGTAGAGCTTTGGTGGGATGTCACAGGGACTCTCACCTCAGAATGACCACAGGCTGCAATAGATGTGACTCAGAGGTAATCAGAACCCAATGACAGTTCCTAGAAACCAGACTGAATTGATTCCGAGGTTATATTGTCAGGCGGTCTCCAAGAGGTAAGTATACAGGAAAGTCGTACTATTTGGTCTGTTAGATCTCCAGCAATGATCCCTCCTCTGAGCTGCTGGTCCTGAGGGCACAGAGAGGTAGGTAGGATACTGTAGTAACGTATGTGAGCACCACCCCAAACCAGGCAGAAACCTTTTTTCTAGCCATCTTTAGAACCCTCTGATGTCTTACTGAAAGCAGATGTATTGATTGATCCCATATCTGTGTGCAGGAGCAGTTCCTGGTCCCGGACCACACAATCAAAGACATCAGCGGTGCTTCCTTTGCTGGCTTCTATTACATCTGCTTTCAGAAGTCAGCAGCCTCCATAGAGGGCTACTACTACCATCGGAGTTCAGAATGGTAAGGATCTCGAGGCTGGTGCTGCAGCAAAAGTTGCCATCAACTCCAGCCATCACATCTGAAAGATTCTCTCAGTCTACTTCTGTCCAAATTCTATACTCTGTGTGTACTGAAGCCATTTTGATGACCTTACATAGAACAGGGACTCCTTCGGGTGGTGGTGGTGGTGGTGGTGGTGGCGGCGGCAGCAGCGGTGGTGGCACACAACTTTAATCCCAGTACTTGGCAAGCAAAGGCAGACAGATTTCTGTGAGTTCAAGACCAGCCTGGTCTACAAGAGCTAATTCCAGGACAGCCTCCAAAGCCACAGAGAAACCCTGTCTTGAAAAAAAAAAAAAAGAACAGAGACTCCTTACCTATAGAGTGAAGTAATGAAATGAAATACTGTTAGATTTTTAAGCTTTTTAATGCACATGAATGTTTTTCCTGCATGCATATATGTATAGCACATGTGTACCTGGTGCCTGCAGAGATCAGAAGAGGGCACTGGATCCTCAGGAACTAGAGTTGTGATTGGTTGTGGGCCACTGTGTGGATGCTGAGAACCAAACTTGGATCTTCTGCAAAACCACTAAACCATCTTTCTAGCCTTATTTCTAAGTGTGTGTGTTATGTGGGATGGAACTTAGGACCTTGTACATGCTAGGTAAGCGGCACCAAGTATATACTTTTAGGCAGTCTTTCATTTTCAGGAATGCTTACCTCAATCCTGGTCATTTCATATTTATTCCTCATGAATTTAACAGTAATGCTGATGTGATCTCTTATAGGCAGTGTGGCCTTCTAAGTTACCAGCTGGCACTACCTCTCATGCACATGATCTTGGTCTGATGAGCTAGGGCCCATGAGGGTTCATTTCCCTGCCTTATGTTCCTCAAAGGCTATGGTGAGAAGGCCACTGCAAGTGATGACTTCTGCCATCTTTTAGAGGACTCTTGTGCCCCCTTGCTGTACTATGAGGGTTAGCTATACCAGGAAGCACCTTATTTCTTCTGAAAGTGGAACACTTGGGCTGAATAGGTGGCTCAGCAGTTAGGAGTACTTCATGCCCTTCCAGAGGACCCAGATTCAGATCCCAGCACTCACATGGCAGCTTACAACTGCCTATAATGCTAGTTCCAGGAAATCTAATGCCCTTTTCTTCCAAGTACCTTCACATACGTAGTGCATATAAATTCACACAGGCTAACACACGTAAACAAAAAGTTAAATAGAATTTAAAAAATAAAATGGGGCAGTAATGTTGCATACCTTTAATCCCAACACTTGGGAGACAGAGACAGGCAGATTTCTGTGAGTTCAAGGCCAGCTTGGTCTACAAAGTGAGTTCCAGTACTGTTACACAGAGAAACCTTGTCTCAAAAAACAAAAAATAAAGGTTAAAAAATAAAATGGAGCCAGACATTGGTGACACATGCCTTATATCCCAGCACTCGGGAGGCAGAGGCAGGAGGATCTCTGTGAGTTGGAGGCCAGTCGGTTTCAGCACAGGCTCCAAAGCTACAGAGAAACTCTTGTCTCAAAAAACTTAAATAAATAAAGATAAAATGGGGCACAATTTCCTTTCAGATTTTTTTTTCCTGGCTGTGAGTGATCATAGTCTAGATAGATTCAAATTCTTTGTTGGTGGCTTTCAGTAGTTGTTCTATTTCCAGGTCAGTTTTTAAAAAAAACTTTTTATAATCCTACAATACCTGGCCTTTGTGTCTGGCATCTCACTTAGCAAAATGCTTTGAGGGATCACTCCTCTCACAGCATATGTGGGGATTTTTCTTTGGTTGAGACAGGTTTTTACTATATAGCCCAGACTTATACCTAGAATTTATGTAGATCTCCCACATCTGCCTCCTGGGTACTGAGTTAGAAGTGTGTACCACATCTTAATGAGGGTTTCTATTGCTGTGATGACTGTGACCAAAAGCAATGTTGGGAGGAAAGGGTTTATTTCACTTATACTTCTGTATCACATTCCATCATCAGAGGACATCAGGACAAAAACTCAACCAAGGCAGGAAACTGGAGGCAGAAACTGGTGCAGTAGCCATGGAGGAGTATATGTTTGCTCAGCCTGCTTTTTTATGGAACCCAGAACCATTAGCCCAGGTGTGGCACCATCTACAATGGACTGGGCCCTCCCACATGAATCACTAATAAAGCATCCCTATAGGCTTGCCTGTAGCCAGATCTTATAGACGCATTTTTTTCAGTTGATGCTCCTTCCTCTCAAATGACTCTAGTTTGTGTCGAGTTAACATAAAACTGTACAGCACAGTCGCTGTTACTAGGCTAGTGCTTTTATTTATTACCAAACTCTTCGTTGCGTGTCTTTGCAGCATTTGTTTGTCCATCCTTCTGTCAGTAAAGGGACTCTTGAGTTGCTTTCATCTTTGGCTGATCAAAATAATGCTGCTGTTTATGTAGGTGTATGTTTCTGAGTTCCTATTTTCCTCTACTTTGGACATATAAGTGCTGGGTTAGATGCTAAATCTGTATGTACCATCTAAGGAACTGCCAGACTTCCCTACAGAGACAGTGCTTTTGGATAGTCTTACCAGCAAGATTTGAGAGCTTCAATTTTTTCATGTTATCCCCCAAAATGTTAGCATGTGTTTATAGTTGCCCAAGGTGACATGAAGAAGTGCCTTACTGTAATTTTAATGCTGCCTATTCCTAACAACTAGTACATAGTCCTTTTGGGGAGTTTTGTCATTTCTTTAAAGATTTGTTTTTATTTTTTATTGTTTGTTTGTGCATCTTTGCGTGAGTGAAGATGCCTGCAAAAGGCCAAAGGTTGGCTCCCTGGAACCAGAGTGACAGGCTGTTGGTAGGAGGCCAACGTGGGTACTGTCAGTAGAACTTTGGTCCTCTGTAAAGCAATATGTTTGTAACCACTGAGCCATCTTTCCAGCACCTCATTGGTTTATTTTGTGTGATGTGGGGGTGGTAGGTATATGCATGTGTGGTAGCATGTATGTCACAACAGAAGACAGTGGCTTTCTCCTTCCATCATATGGGTCCCAAGGATGAAACTCAGGTTTCAGTCTTGGCACCAGGTTCACACTGAGCCATCTTGCTGCCTTTTTAAATTAAATTTTTAAATTCTATATGTCTGACTGTTTTGCCTGCATATATATCTATACCCCACTTGCATGTCCACAGAGGCCAGAAAAGAGCATTGGATCTCCAGGAACTGGTTATGAGCTGTCATGTGGGTGCAAGGAACCAAACCCCAGTGCTCTTATCTGTTGGGCCATCTTTCCAATCCTTGTCGGCGTTTCTAAAAAAAATTATTATTGTGCGTATGCACATGATGTGAGTGTACATGATACATGTGTGGATGTATGTATCACTGTGTTCATGTGGAGGTTAGAGAACAATGTTACAGACTTAGTTCTCTCTGTTCACCTCTATGTGGGTTCAGACTCAGGTGTCCAGGCTTACATGGCAAGCACCATTACCATAGAGCCATCTCACTGACCTCAAAGCCCTGTTGTGAGTTTTTTTCTTTCTTTTAGTGCTTGAGTGTAACCCCAGACCCCATGCATGCTAGGCAAACACTCCACTACTAAGCTACATCCTCAGCCCATATTTTAAAATCTATATTAGAAATAAACTGCTTTTCCTGAGTTCTTCAACGTTATGTGAAGCAAATAATGGAGAGCTAACCTACAAACATTAATTAAAATGGACCTAGGAGTTATCCCTACATGGAGACTACCCACTGCTTTCTTTCTTTTTCTTTTTTTCTTTTTTTTTCAATATTTCGAGACAGGGTTTCTCTGTGGCTTTGGAGGCTGTCCTGGAACTAGCTCTTGTAGACCAGGCTGGCCTCGAACTCACAGAAATCTGCCTGCCTCTGCCTCCCAAGTGCTGGGATTAAAGGCGTGCACCACCACTGCCCAGCATGTCCACTGCTTTCTTGATCCTCTGAGAATACTTACTGATGGGAGAAACAGACACCTCCAGTCCCTCTGGCAACCCACCTTATAGCCATGTTGCGGGAAGTGAGAAGCAATGGGAAATACTCATAGCAAGCTGTGAGGTTCTTCTCTCCAGTGTCTCTTTGGGTACTAAGAGAATTGGAATATTCTTTGTTATGTGTGAAGTATTTCCTAAGACATCACATATTGGTATTCTTTAAACACAAATACAGAATTACAAGTGGGAGAGAGGTAGTGAACTCCGTCTCTTCTTGGAGCTAATTGGGGTCCTGTTTCTTATTCTTTAGTTTTTTTGGTTTTTTGTTTTGTTTTGTTTTGCTTTGCTTCTGTTATGTGAACCTAGACCCTAAGCTACATTTGTTTGTTTACAGACATTAGTTTATTAGTTTATTTGGTGACCATGAACTGAGGTGATCAGGAACTTGTGATTCTCCTTCCTCAGGCTCCCTGGTAGCTGGGATTACAGACCTGCACTTCCAGGCCCAATTCAGGGTTTTGTTGTTGTTTCCGACAAGTTCTCAACTCTGTGTCCCTGGTTGTCCTGGAGCTCATAGAGATCTACCTGCTTCTGCTCTCACATGCTGGGATAAAAGGCTTATGTCACCATGCCTGGCCTTAGGGTCCTATTTTTGTGAGCTGTTGCCTAAAAACAATTCCTACACATGGTATAGTGGAGCAACATAAGGAGACAAAGGAACAAGCAAGCTAGGTGCAACTAAGCATTTATAAGATGTGTTAGCAAAGCCAGACATATTGGTGTGCACACCTGTATTCTCAGCTACTTGGAGGCTTAGGCAGGTGGACTACTGGGTTGAATGAGACTTCATTTTCATTTTAACAGTATAACAAAGTGGGGTCCTAGAGAGATGGCTCAGCTGTTAAGAGAACTTGCTGCTCTTCCAGATGACTTAGGTTCAATTCCCAGCACCGCATGGTGGCTCATAACCATCTTCAATTCTAGTCCCAGGCCATCTTATGCCCTCTTCTGTTCTCCACAGACACTAGACACACACATAATACACACACACACACACACACACACACACACACACACACACACACTCTTAATATGTCTAATCCTGGAACTAATTAGGCAGAAGCAGATGGATTGTTGTGAGTCAGCTTGATCTACATGGGTATTTCCAGGCCAGCTAGAGCTATGTAGTGAGACCCTATATTTTTTTTTCTGGATTAGGGGAATCAAAAACAGGATTCCCCTGTATAACAGCAGCCCTGGCTGTCCTGAAAGTCTTTTTGTAGACCAGGCTGGCCTCAAACTCACAGAGATCCTCCTGCTTCTGCCTCCCGAGTGCTGGGATTAAAGGTGTGTACCACCACTGCTGGTGACACCCTACATTTATTAATTAATTAATTTATTTATTTAGGTTTTTTTTTTTTTTTTTGAGACAGGGTTTCTCTGTATTGTTTTGGAGGCTGTCCTGGAACTCACTCTGTAGACCAGGCTGGCCTCGAACTCACAGAGATCCGCCTGCCTCTGCCTCCCGAGTGCTGGGATTAAAGGCGTGCGCCACCAACGCCCGGCTGACACCCTACATTTATATACATAATTAAAAATGGTTTAGCACCTCAGTCTGGGTATAATTGGCAGGGGCTATGGGTGAAGTTCTCCAGCCTCCTCTGTTCAGGATACCCAAAAAAACTCTTCTGTTTTGTCTCTCCCCTATTGCAGGTATCAGTCCCTCAACCTGACCCATGTTCCTGAACACAGTGCACCCATCTATGAGTTCCGGTGACAGTGGTTCAGAACAGCGGCCAAATAAAACTGAACTTGGCAGCAAAGAGCTTTGCCAAGGAAATTATGTACCTGCCAGAACCAGGAGAGGTGTGTTCCTGTTTCTTCATGGGCAGACTTCATCAGAAAGCATGAATGTTAACCTACAGGACCCAAGGCACATGGCCAACCTGCAGGCAGGCAGAGGGAGCTGTCCACATCTTACCCTCCTTCCTCTCTGCGGCATTGTGGTCACCATCTGTTTCTGAGCAACCTTAAATGCACTTTCCTTCCTGCACAGCTAACTTCTGCATCACAGAAATGCCATCTGTCTTCAGCCTGCCTCTAGCCGAGTAGAAGGTCAGCTCCTGGGTCACCTCAGCCTTGGTGCTCAGTGGTCCCCACCCAGGCCCTACTCCTTCCCCAGTTGCTTGTTTGGTAGCCCAAGGAAAGGCAGAGCCCAGCAACTTGTGCCCCAGAGCTGTGTGTGAGGAGTTGGCTGGGCCCAGCATCTACCACCAACGAAATGAGGTGGAGGCCCTAGTGGGCCTCATCAGCATTTGATTACAGTTTGGATGTTTTGTGGGGCCGGTGGCTCTGCTGAGCCCTGTACAAGTGCAAGACTCGCACATGGCTGTCGAGTTTCCTGGGCCTGCTGTCGGGGATCACTAAATTTAAGGCTTCCAGATCCCTGGTTGGGAGTAGATCCCAAATTGCTTTCTTAGTACATTTGCTCCAAACTTCTGAACTTGAGGGCAATACTAAAATAAAAGAGTTTTTTATTACAAAATTATTATTTTTATGGTACCTTTAACAAGGACCCTATGGCAAATGCACAATTCCGAATTACATTTTATCGTTTTCACATTGAAAACAACAAATGTTGACTTAGTGATTTTTATATCTATGTCTATATGTATATTTAATCAACCAGCAGTTTTAAAGCAAGTCATCTGGTACAAAAGTTTCTCAGCATTGCATAAATTACAGTGCTAAACACAAGAACTGTTTCCGGGGCCAGTTGAGCATTTGTGCCTCCTCCTTTTGCTACTCAAAACATCAGTGTGTCATGACAACCTTTTCCAAAGGCAGAAGGGTCTCCATTCCCCGTAAAGAATGACTGAAATGTTGAGATGGGGCGGGCAGGAGAGATAAATGCGCTCAAATAACTCCAGGCTCGTGTGCCAAAGTGTGGGGGAGGGGAGTGTTTTGGTTTGGTTTGGTTTGATTTGGTTTGGTTTAGTTTGGTTTGGTTTGGTTTGGTTTGGTTTTTCTAAATGTTTAAAAAGCTTGATAGGTTGGCATCAGTTGTAGTCCACAGATATGGTCAGGGCTTTACAGGTTCAAACACAAGAGGAAAAAGCTTTAAAATAAATACAGCACTAGGGCCTGGGGTACGGCTGATAGAGCACTAGCTTGCCATGTAAGAGGGCCTAGCTTCCATTCCCAGTGCTGGGAAAAGGAACACCAGGGTTAGCGGGTTGACTGTCCTTGTTCTGTGCTGTATGTTACTAATACTGACTGTTTGGGGAGCAGAAGTGGGGAACGGAACCAGCAGGAACTTGTGGTATCCGTAGTCCTAAGACTGTAAGCAGAGTACAGCTGACCCATTCAGTAAATCCATAAAAGTAAATCCAAGGCTTAGGTAGAAAAAATAATTCACATCCATTACTAATGCTAAATCACATGGTTCCTTACCTTTGAAAAACAAGCTAGATATGGTAATGCACCTATAGACTCAGCTACTCAAAAGCTGAGCCCAGAAGATAGGGTCAGTCTCAGGTGAACCTAGACTTCATTTCCTAACAAAAGACGTCAGAATTCGGCTGTGCATCATGACTGACTGCTGAGAAACACCTGGCTGACATTCATGGGACACCATTACTTCAGTGAAGCTGAGAGGCAACACTGAAGAGTGAAGGAGGCTGAGGGATTATGCTGGCTTTCTCCCTGCAGCACACACTCAACTCCTCTGGCTGTCCTTTGTACCATACCAGTCAACCTTGTGTGTACCATCCAAGCATCATTCAACAGTAGGTGGAGCCACCCTGAAACTAGGGCTTATGTGTAGCTCAAGTGGCACATCAGTGAACAGTTTCTCTTGTAAACTGGGCAAGCCAGTTTGTAGCGTAGGGACCCCCACACACATACACCTCTCCACCCCCCTTTTGGGCTCTTTGGAGTCAGGTTCTCACTGTAACTCTGGTTGGCCTGGAGTTCACTATGTAGACCAGGCTGACCTTGAACTCACAGAGCTCCACCTGACTGCTTGGAGTACTAGGGTTAAAAGGTGTGAACCACCACACCCCACTCCTTTCTCTTTCTTAGCTAGGGAAGTGCTCCAGTTGTACTTAGAAAAATGAGGGAAGGATGCCTTTAGCAGCCTTCAGACCCACCTGAAGACTTGCTGCTTAGAAGTCTGCCGTGCGAATTGGGCATGAATAAACATGTTTCACTTAGCAACTCCTACCTATGGATAGTGACTTTTCCTTTTCTATCCCTGAAGGACCTCTGGGGACTGTCTTGGTGGTTTACATGCCTCTGGTAACGTGTGCAATATCTTTGACTGACACTTGTATCTAACATTGAGAAATAAGTGCAGACTGCAAATTTCCTACTGTTCTCCAAAAAGCCAGCCCCAGACAGGGACTAGAAGTCTGGCTGGTCTTACCCTCCACTCAGAAGGCTCCAGTGCTGTGGCCAGTGTTGGCCCTCCACGCCCTGCTTTACCCTTATACCCACCCATCCCTAAAGATTGTCTAGCATTTCAGCTGCAGTCCAAAAGTAAGTAGACAATGCCTAATATTAAGTAGGAAGCCAGTCGGTGTGCTGGCTGTTAGCAGTGTTGAAATCAGACTCTAGAGGAACAAAGGGGTTTGTTTCTCAATGTCTTTTGCTTTCAGAAGCAGGGAATTTATATTCTCTTTAAGGCCTTGAATGGATTTTTTTTCCTCATAAAATAGTCACTGATAAGCTAATTTTTAAAAAGAAATGCCATTAAGTATGTTACATTGTGGTTTAAAATTACTAACAAGTTCTGGGAAAGAAAAATACTTGATTTTGAATCTTAAATGTTTTTTAAAAATTAGATTTGAATGGGCGCAAAGTATGAATATTTTGTTTCTTTATGGAAGACCTGTGGAAAGGGTTTGAAGATTTGCAATGGGAGAAGTATTTTACAGAGCTATCAATGTCTAAATAATTTTTAAAAAATAATAAAGGTATTTAAGCAGTGTGTGTCCAATTTCTAAGTCAAAACAGTCCCATTTGAAGAAACTAGTCAGAACCAGGTGTGATGGCACACGCCTTTAATCCCAGCACTCAGGAGGCAGAGGCAGGTGGATCTCTGTGAGTTCAAGACCAGCCTGGTCTACAAGAACTGGTTCCAGGACAGCCTCCAAAACCACAGGGGGGGGGGGGAATGGAAGAAGAAACTAGTCAGTCCCATTGTGACCAGAAACTTGTGTGGGTCACTGTCATAAACGTGCTATGCCATACATGTTGATGAACACATGTATCTTCAGTGTCAGGGTTCACTGAATGACAATAAATCCATAAGGTTTAGTAGTTTGAAATGAGAGTAATTTGTCATAAATCTACCTACCTCAGTTGCTGACCCAGGAGAATTCAGGATCTTTATTCCACTCTTAATTGCTAAAATAAATTGACATCACATAGTAGATATATCTATATGTGTATGCATGGACCACTGATAAGGCTGCTCACACTACCCAGGGAATGACATAATCCTAAAGCATGGGTACCTAACTTAGGCTGCTGGAAGGCATGCACCACAGTGTGCTAAAGCTAGGTGTTGGCAATAGGCTCACACACACCCAGTATTACCTCATTAGACTGGCCAGAAAATTTGAGATTCTAAGAACTAGTCTCAAATGTTGAAGAGACTTAAAATTTAAACTGGAATGCCAAGGAAATTTATGTTGACGGTCACCCTGAGCCACAAAGCAAATCCCCACCTTAAACCAGGCAGTAGTGGCACATACCTTTAATTGCAACACTCGAGAGGCAGGTGGATCTCTGATTAAAGGCCTGCACCACTACTGCCTGACTTCAATTTTTTTTCTGACTTCAATTTTTAAATATCCAAATTTTAACCTTTTGTCTGCCCTGATTTGAGGCCTCTAGGAACAATACAATGTATGCAAATTCTGCTAAGTGTAAATCCAGCTGCAAAACAGGAGAATTACAAGCATGAGCTCTGCACTGACCCGAGCACACCTGAGAAGGAAGACCTAGTTGTTGCTCCGAAGTGAATCGGGCAGCTAGGACAGAAGGCTAAGGCCCAACATCGTATCTCCAGTGCCTCCAAACCAAAACAAAAGGAGCTGGAGAGATGTCTTCAGTTAAGAGCTGATGTTCTTCCAGAGGTCCTGGGTTTGATTCCCACCACCTGCATGGTAGCTCACAACACTAACTCCAGTTACAGTTCCAGATCCAACACCCTCTTCTGGTCTCTGCAGGTACTAGGCGAATATGTGGTGCCTGAAAACATAAATGCAAGCAAAATACCCAAACACATAAAATAACATAGTTCAAAACAAAAATTAAAAGGGCCGCTGGTCTTGATGCCAGAAGCAAAGGGTCTGAAACTGAGTGCGCCTGAGCAGCTTTCTGTCTGAACTTCAAAAACCTCTCAGGATTGAAACTCCCTTATTTGTATGTAACAGGGAGCATAAAAAGCTTCTCATTTGTAGAAAAGTATTTGCTAAATTCAAGTTTACTATTGCCGTCTTCCCTTCTGATGTCTCGGCTTCATTTCTCCATAGCTTCTCTAGTTGTCATGATGAAGCAATGCTGCTCAAACTTGGCTGCATTCCACCCTAGAGTTCATTTTAAATCCTTATGTGCAGTTGTGTGCACCTGGAACCCTAGCTGTTGGAGGTGCTGAGGCAGGAGGATCATGAGCCCACAAGTTCCAGGCAGGTTTAGTCATCATAATGAGACCGACCTTCTCAAGATTAAATTCTCAAATCCGACAGGCGGTGGTGGCGCACACCTTTAATCCCAGCACTCAGGAGGCAGAGGCAGGCGGATCTCTGTGAGTTCGAGACCAGCCTGAACTACAAGAGATAGTTCCAGGACAGCCTCCAAAGCCTCAGAGAAACTCTGCCTTGGAAAGAAAAAAAAAAGTCCTGTGCTAAGCGGAATGCAACCTGTTGGTTGGTGTTATTGAAGCTCCCACCATAACTCTGGCATGCAACAAAGGTTTTGAATGATGGTGTGAGTCCCACCGAAAATGAGAAAGACTCCAGGGCAATAGTTCTCAACCTGTGGGTCTCCACCCCTTTGGGGATCAAATGACCCTCTCACTGAGGTCACATATCAGATATCTTGCCAGGTGGTGGTGGCTCACGCCTTTAATCCCAGCACTTGGGAGGCAGAGGCAGGCGGATCTCTGTGAGTTCGAGGCTGGGCTGGACTGACAGCCTCCAAAACAATACAGAGAAGCCCTGTCTCGTAAAAAAAAGAAGAACTGCTCTAGGGCTTAGGATGTTAAGAGTATTAAATGCAGACTTGTGGGTGAAAATCATAGAGGCTTTTGGTAGTGAAACCTGAGAACAGCACTGGGGCACAAGGGACTAGGGAGATAGATGTCTCTGTCAGTAAAGTACTTGGTGCAGGAGTGTAATGACCTGAGTTCAGGTTCCCCAGCACCCACATAAAACCAGCATGCACCAGTGAGCCAGCACTAGGTAGGTGGAGACATCAGGACCTCTGGGGCTTGCTGACCATCAAGTCATAGTCATCGTCTTCTCCTCCCTCCTCTTTTTTTTTTCCTTGAGACAGTGTTTCTCTGTTTATCCCTGGCTATCCTGGCACTCACTCTGTAGACCAGGCTGGCCTCAAACTCAGAGATCCACCTACCTCTGCCATCCCAGTGCCGGGATTAAAGGTGTGCACTCCACTGCCCAGGACAGCAAGTTCCAGTTTCAACGAGAGGCTTTTCTCAAAAGATGGAGAGCCACGGAGATGGGTAAGTGAGTTAAGGTGCATGTGCCAACCCTGGCCGTCTGAGCTGGATGATAAGAGCTGCATGACAAGAGAACTGACTCCCGCAAGTTGTTCTTCGACCTCCATATATCACACTCCACCACAAAATAAAAGATAACCAATTTTTGTTAAATGGTGGAGAGTGAGGCTCATGTCAGCCTCTGGTCTCTAAAGATGCACACACGTGTGCGTGCACACATACACACACATACACAAATGCAGACCCACACATGTGTAAACACATTCATCGCTAGCACAGAAAAAGAATAGCACTGGGCAACAGCAGCCTGTCATAGAAAGTGTGCGCTCGTCAGAAGTGGAGGCTCTAGGAGAAGGAACAGAGCTTTCCATACCAGGCCCTGTCCTAAAGGCTCTCACACTTTGGTTCTTCTGAGCACTGAACACATGACAACCACTGTATTGTGTTCAGACTGCAACAGTGACTCGGCAGGGTGGTCTGCAGAACACATACGGAACAATAGTCATAATAAGGGAGGCTGTCACAGGAGAGTGATGGTAAGTGAGAGGCATTAGAAGACAGGAAAAGGAGGGACAGCTGGTACCAGCTGGAGCAAAGTAGGGATGCAATTTTTAAGGATATGGTCAGTCTGAGCTTTATTAAGTAGGTGATGTTTAAATGATCTTTGAACAAAAATCTGGAACAAAGAGACCGAGCCAGGCTGATGCATGGCTTGAGCATTCCAGAGGAAGCAGTCTACGCGGAGGTAATGAGGCAGGAGTAAGTGTGCTGTATTTAAGAGTAACAGTCAGAGCCGGGCGTTGGTGGCACACGCCTTTAATCCCAGCACTCGGGAGGCAGAGGCAGGCAGATCTCTGTGAGTTCGAGACCAGCCTGGACTACCAAGCGAGTTCCAGGACAGCCTCCAAAGCCACAGAGAAACCCTGTCTCGAAAAAACCAAAAAAAAAAAAAAAAAAAAAAAAAGAGTAACAATCAGGGCAAAGATCCTGAGACAGGAGCCAGTGGGGAAGTAAGTAGTGGAGGTAAGGGCAGAGGTTATGCTAGTGTAAAGGATAGGTGTTTACATGTCAGATCCCAAGGACTCACTGACCTTGACTTCTACTGGATGATGGGAGCCATTAGAGAAGACTTTGAGCAAGGGAGCACATGATCTGGTCTAAGTTCAAAGGAGCCTGCTGGTTGCTCACTGACAGACAGGGGACAAGCAGAGGGACCCACCAGGAGGCTGCTGAAGCCCCAGGGAGATGTGATGGAGGGCACTTCACATCAGTATGCTCTGAAGATATCTGAAAGGGTTTGCTGACCCACGGAGTGCAGCCTAGCAGCAGAGGGGCAGCTGAAGTTGAGCTCATGGTCTTGGCCTGGAAACAGGGAGGAAGCAGTTGTTATCCTGTGAACCCCCATGAGATTTTAGCTTGTGAAGGTGACAGCATAAGCAAGCAAGGTCATAGAGAAGGTTGTTTTTAAAAATTATTTTATTTCTTTTTTTTTGTTTGTTTTTTGTTTTTTTGAGGCAGGGTTTCTCTGTGGCTTTGGAGGCTGTCCTGGAACTAGCTATTGTAGACCAGGCTGGTCTCGAACTCACAGAGATCCGCCTGCCTCTGCCTCCCGAGTGCTGGGATTAAGGGCGTGCGCCACCAACGCCCGGCTAAAAATTATTTTATTTCATAGGTGATTTACCTGCATGTATGTATGTGCACTGCATGCATGCCTGGCGCCAACAGAAGCCAGAACCCCCAAAAGCATCAGAAACCCTAATATTGAAGTTATAGACGGTTGTAAGCCACCATATGGGTGCCAAGAACTGGACCTGGGTCCTCAAGAAGAGCAGCCAGTGCTCCTAACCTCTGAACCATCTCTCCAGTCCCCATAGAGAAGCTTCTTGTCTTCCAACAATAGTTATCTGCTATGGGGTAGATAGACCCTTGACCCTCAGTGGCTTTATCTAACCAAGTTCATTTACGATGAGTCCTCTTTGTTCAAAGTGAACTGAGGCCTTACTCTATCACCCAGTAAGGGACCTGGCTGATGTTCAGCCCATATTCAGTCAGCACATTCCTGGGCAGGATCAGGTGGCCCAGTGAGGAGGAGGGGACATTGCTTCTGGCAGTTGAGCCCCATTAACTACAAAGGGGCTGGGAAATGGGAATAATCTCTGAGGAGCAATAGTCATAGTTGAGGAGGTGGCTCAATTGAAAAAGCGTGCAGGGCGGTGGTGGTCCACGCCTTTAATCCCAGC